TGCCTTCCAAGGGAGGTGGCAGTAGCTGCATCGTCCATGCCAGTCGCGCTGCTCGTCCTGCTGGTCATGTTAGTGCTGCTGTCTGCGTGCTTGTCACGGTGGTGCTGTTGCGGTGGGTGCTGCGCGTCGTGCTGGTCGGCGTCGTGCTCGGCTCTTTCCGTTGCCGTCGCTGGGGAAGGAGGTGGTTCTGGGGTCTCAACCCTCTCAGCGACGGCACTGTATCGGTTCCGTGACTCGTTGCGCTGGGCTGGAGCAATCAGGCTCTGCGGGCGAGGGCCTTTAAATGCATCTCCTCGCTGGCTTCCCCCAACTGCCCCCGCATGTGGACGCAGGGGTTGCTCGTGCTCCCCCGCCGCGCCGACGTTCGCAGCAGGTTGCGTGTTGGGAGTGCTGCTGGTGCTGGCGCTGGACGCAATGTCGCGCAGCCGCTGGCGCTCCGCGTCGCCGCGCTGCCGCGCCAGTTGCTGCCCTTCTGTATGTGACTCGGGCTGGGCGCCGTCACTGGGCATGTCAATGCTGTGTCCGTCGCTAGGTTGGCGGCGCAGTCGTGGTGAGTCGGATGCGTTGCGTCCTGGTGGTGGTAGTCCTTGACGTGCCAGGCGTCGTGTCGCAGCGCGGGGGCTGCGTCGTCGTTGCTGTCCGTGCGCTCGCTGTCGAAGTGTGACCAGCGTGCTGGGGAAGTTCCCCGTGCCGCTCCACCAGTCGGGTCTGTCGGATGCGCACCTTTAATGATGGTCGGGCCCTCGTGTCTGTTGAGTCTTGGATTCGTGCGTCTGCCCGCGTCCGAGGAAATGGTGGCAGTCTTCCAATGGGACGTGGTACTGGGTGCAGTAGAACGCCCCAAGCGAACTGACGAGGTGGCGGTATCTCGCGCCTGGCTGATCGTCGTTGTCGGGGTCGGCCTGGTAGGCGGCACAGTTCTGGATATAGGGCGGGGCTGTGCTCGTGGGGCCGTGGTGCATCACGTTTGCAACCTCCCACGCATCGTCCATTTCGTTGGTGTCGATCTCGAGAGTTCGTGCATGAAGTCGACCGAGTGGCGGTATCTGCTGTAGCTCCCTTTGGGCGCCGGCGCAGTCCATGTCATCGTGCAACTCCGAACTCGGCCCCACGGTGGTGCCCTCCGTACTGCTAAACCTCGGCCCTTTGAGCCTCGGCGGCGCCTTGGAGGTAGTCCACGTCGCCGGCTTCGTCGTAGTGGTGGTGGGGTGGTTGTGCGCCGTGGTGGAGCGAACTCGCTGATGACGTCGCCTGCGAAGTCGAAAGGGGCGCTTCCGTCTCCGTCCGTCGTGCTGTGTCGAGGTGGTGGCGTTGCGGTGGGAGTGGTCGCGGTTGCAATTGTTGGGTGGCGTTGCCATCCGCGCGGTTCAAGCGCTTCCTCTCGTGCTGAGTTCTCGGCGTCCTGGTCGCGCGGTGTCGTAGTCGTGGGCTTGGCCCTTGTGCTTCTCTGTCTCTTCGTCTTCTTCTTCGCCATGTTGGTCTTCTTGGGCTGCGTTGGGCGTGGGGAGGCCCCCGGTAGCTGCAGTCGTCGGCTGAGGTCGGGGTCTACATCTGCTCTGATGGCGATGTCGAGCCTGATGCGTGGCTTCCAAGGGACGTCGCGCACTGGTTGGATGCCTCGAACGAGTCGTTGTCCTCCGCCGTTGACTAGCGCGTAGACGTTGCTGGAGGGCGCGTCGTCACCAAGGAAGTAGGTGCGCTGGTCGTTGTCTAGCCCGACGTATGTTGACTCACCGAGGGCAGTTGTCCATCCTGATTGTACCATGTCTTCGTGCGGCCGATTGAAGTCGCCGCAGAGAATCCATGGTGCGCGCGTAGTGCTGAGGAACGCGGCCATCGACGTTAACTTCCTGGAGTTCTCGCCGCTGGTGGCGGAGTGGGAAGGGCCCAGGTAGACGGAGATGATGAGGAGAGGGGAACCACGCATGAGCAGAGTGACTGGCGTCCAGTCGCACACGTTGACGGCGTCGTGCTGCGAGCCGCGGGCGCCCGATGAGGTTGCACCTGAAACTGCAGCACGTGGTCCCTGGCATTGATGCGACGTCGCCTTGAGGTGGCCCTTGACGAGGACCCCCGCGCCTCCACAAGTGCCTGTCTCGCTTCCGTCGCTGGCCCGCGCTGCCGTGAACGCTGCTGAGAAGCCCGCTTTCTGCAGCGTGTGCTCAGTGTTGTCGAGCTCGCGGTGGGCCAAGTGGGTATCCTGCAAAGCGTAGAAGTCGTGCGGTTTCCGCACTCCATCTCGGCGAAGCCAGCTCAGGGCCATCTGGCCCCACCGCGCGATGTCGGCGCAGAAGACGCGGCGCTCGTGGCGGGAGTCGTCGCCAAACTGCCTTCTCCCAACGCGCCGTGACCGTCAGCGGGTCGCGGGGGCCTCCGAGGAAGCCGCCGCGGTCCGCCGCTGTTGGAGGTAGTCCTCCGCAGGGTCTGTCTCCTCCATCTCCGTATTCTCGTCGTCGTCGACTGCTGCTGGGGTTGTTGCTGCGTCTGCTGCTGCTGGTGGTGGTGCTGCAGGTGCTGCCGTCGCCGCTGCCGACGAATCCGCCTTCCTCTTCTTGCAGGCCTGCTGGATCTGGGCTCTCTCCTGCTCCGCCTTCAGCTTTGTCGCCTGGGGGTGCTGCTTCAGCTGACCCGCGAACTCCCTGGTGTTCTTCTGCAGCTGCTCCAGCACTTGGCGCTTGGCGTCGTCGACCGCCTTGCGACCCTGCTCGCCCAGGTCGTCCGAGTGTGCGAACTCCTGCTCCACTTCGGCGATCTGCACGTCGCTCGGAGAGAGCAGGTCCGCGTCCGTATCGAGCAGCTGCTCGAAGATGCTGCGCTTGCTGGTGTTCGGCTTGCCTTCCTGTTGGGTCTCCTCGATATCGCGCGCAGCCTTCACGACCGCGTCCGCTCTCTCCTTCAAGGCGGCCGTGGCCTTCTCGGCTTTTTGCCGCGCTGCTTCCGCCTGCTCGCACGCCCACTTGTACTGCTTGTTGGCGTACTCGAGCTCCTTCGCCGCTTCAGCCAAGCGCGCAACACGTGACTTGGTCTGCGTCTTGGGCGCCTCCTGGAGCGCATCCGCAAAGACCGCGAGCTGCTTTGCGATGGTGTCCCCGTTGGCGAGCTTCAGCGTGCCGATGGACTCCGTGACCGTCTTCAGAGCCGATGCCAGCTGGGCGCCGCCGCCAGCCATGGCGTCGCCGCTGCTGGAGCCTCCTCCGCCACGGGGTCTCGCACGCTCGCCGATGGACTGCTGCTGCTGCTGCCACCAGTTGGGCTGCTGCTGCTGCTGCTGCGGCTGCTTCTGCTGCCACTGCTGCGGCTTGCCCGTCTTGGGCCTGGCCACTCGGCATCCGCAGCTGCACCAATAGGCATTGTGCTCGAGGCGCGCCACCACCACCAGGTCTGGCACTTCTTGCAGGTCGTCCATGCTGCCTCGCCTGGTGCCATGCTCCCGTGGTGAGCCGCGAGGCTGGCAATGTCCATCTCTCGTCTGAATCGAGACGGGACTCAGCCCGCTGGCGCCGCTCTCGTCGATGCCACGCGGGCGAGCGCGATCGCGGCCGCGCGCTCGTCCCGCCGGTGCGCCCCTCCCTCGGGGCTGGGGTCGTGGTCTCTCGGGCAGCTGGCCCAAAATGGAGCGCCTCGGACCACAACGCCTGAGGAGGGAGGAGGGAGAAGAGGAGGGGGTGGAGGAAGGAAGAGGGAGGAAGAGGAGGGCGGGGGGGGGAGGGAGGAGGAGGAGGAGGCGGAGGTGGAGGAGGAGGAGGAGGAGGAGGAGGAGGAGGAGGAGGAGGAGGACGAGGAGGAGGAGGAGAAAAGGGCGCCAGTCCAGCGTAAAACGGGAGGATGTTTCGGGCGGGAGCGCTGGTTTTGTCGGGACGAGGGCTGTCGGCGGCGAGCAAGAGCACCGCCTTGAGTAAAAAAGGGAGACAGTCTCGAGCGGGGGCGTTGTTGTTGCTGGAGGGCGGCGCCGATGAGAGAAACAACAAAACCAGCGCAACAAGCAAAATCCTCACCACGGATCCGCACTTCAGCCACGCACCCAGGGACAATGAATGACCGTTCGGTCCCTCACTCTGACATACGCGCATCCTGCGCGTATACATGCATACAGACATACATACATACAGACAGACATACAGACAGACAGACAGACATATATGCATGCATGCATGCATTCAGACAGACAGACATGCACACCTGCATGCAAACTACACGCAACCACATAAACATATTCACACCTACCTACCTACCTGCCTGTCTGTCTGCCGAACGACCTACCTACCGACATGCATACATACAGAGAGACAGACCGACATGCATACATACAGGCATACTTTCAGAGCTACACACATACATAAATACATACATACCGAGCTACCTACCTACCGACCTACATACATACATACATACATACATACGTACATACATGCATTCATACATACATGCATGCATGCATGCATACATACATACATACATACCATACCATACCATACCATACCATACCAACATACATACATACATACATACATACATACATATATACATACATACATACATACATACATACATACAGACATAAATACACACATACACATACATACATACATACATACATACATACATACATACATACATACATACATACATACACACATATACATACATACATACATACATACATGCATACGTACATACATACGTACATACATACATACATACATACATACATAAATGCATACATACATACATACATACACACATACATGCATGCATGCATGCATGCATGCATGCATGCATGCGTACATACATACACACATACATACATACACACATACATACATACATGCATGCATACACGCATGCATACATGCACGCATGCATGCACGCATACATACATGCGTCCACACATATGTTTGTATGAAGCTATACACGCTCTAAATACGCACGCGCATAAGGAACACGAACGCACGTACGATTCCAGGAGGCTGCCGACAAGCCCGCTGTCCAACCCGTCCCACCAGGTGGTCACCAGGACAGCCGCGATGCAGGCGAGGACTGCCGCAAAGCCTGCGCTGCCCTCTCCCGCGCTGGAGGTCCCGAGTGGTCAAGGCGGTGCGGCGGAGGTCAAGGAGGAGGGCATGGAAGGTGAGGGCGAGTAGGACACCGAAGAGAAGCAGGAAGTAGGAAGTGGAGAATGCAGTCGAGGAGGACCGCGACGAGCACACGGATTATTAGTTTTTCCCCTGGCAGTTTGTCTGCAAGGGCGCTGTGTAATTATTCTAAGAAGCCGAGTGCGGGGATCGCCAGCTGGATTCGGTTGGGCGCCTGGGTCTCATGTTGTCTCCCGTGGCCTCCCGCGATCTCCCGTGGTGTCTCGCTGTTTCCCGTTATCTCCCGTTATGCCACGTCGTCTCCCGTTGTCTTCTGCTGTCTCACGGTGTATTCGTATCAGTACCAGCATCCGTAATACAGCAGTAAGACGAAAGTCTGTGCGCACTGAGTTCGGGCGGTTGGCAATGGGGGGTGACGTCGATGGGGGGCGAAGAAACGATTCCCGCAGGGGCCCTCTAGGGCCCCTGCTGGCTCCAACAGGGGCCCTGAAACGGCCACTCCAGGGTCCTTTTCTTCACCCCCCGTTTAAGTCACCATCCGTTATCGGATGCACGTAAGAGCGACCCTGGGCAAGAGTGACCTTCGGTGCGCGACTTTCGGGGGCCGCGGGGAGGCCGAGCTGGAGCGCGCAAGCCGCTGCTGTCGCATCGCGTTGGGCCATCTGTGGACCCCAGTGTGCTCGCACCAAAGGTCACTCTGGCGAAAAGTCTATACGCATGGCCGACATTACCACCCGCCCGATGGTTTCCTTATTTCCCCCCTCCCGGACCCCGCACCTCTGGGCGCCGTCGGGGCTCTTCGCCCTTCCCGGCGCTCGCGGTGCCTGGGCGCCTCCGGTGCCCTCCGTCGTGGGCCCCCCCGTCCAGGCCGCCGGGCCCGCTCTCTTCTTCCCCCCCCCCCGCTCCGCCTGCACCTTGAGACCCGACGCGTAAGAAAATTGTTTGGTTGCGACCGCGCAGCAGAGGGCAGGCGGCGAAAGGGGGTCCGGGGCACGGGCCAGCCTAATTAGCTACTAGGCGCAACGCAAGCCGGCCGGGCCAGCACTCAGAAGCGGCAGCTGGAGAGCAGCAGCGGCAAGGGGCTGATTGGCTGAACTGCAACGCCCAGGGAAGCTCATGCATTGAGCAAACCTGTGGCAAAGTGCCTTAGAATTACGAACTGCACGCCCGACGCTTAAGAAAAATACAGCGTCGTGAAAAATCACGACCGGGGCCCTGAGCCTGCTCTTGCTGTACAATTTCCCTCACGCTGGATCGATGCGTGGGGGTCCCGGGGCCCGAAAGCGGGCGAAACCGCCGGGCTCGAGAAAACTGAAGCCCGAGGGCCCTTCGAAGGCCCGTGGCTGGCTGTTCCCGGGCTGGGCGCCGTGATGAGCCCGTCTCTTGGGCACTGGCCAGCGGTCAGGGTGCGACCCCTCTCTCCGCCATGCAGCTCCAAGCCTGACGGCAGGGGGCGGCCAGCGACCGAGAAACGCTCAACAACGTCGCCGCTGGCCGGGCTCAAGGTCAAAGGACTGGACCTCCCATGAGAGCCAGGCGCCTCAGTAATTTCGAGGCGGGCGCTTTCGGCCAGATTCAGGTCCCGGGGCCCTCACAGATCGACCTGGCTAGAAAAACGACGCAGAAAGATGGGGTCCAGGCCTCCGATCGTGTAATTTCACGATGTTGCAATTTCTGTCGATACGTCGGATCTCAAAGAAAGATAACAACGGAACTCCTCTCCTTCCCTTCGTGTTGGGGAGGTCCATGCCGGGGTCAGGGCCCGCGAGAGCCCGCGGGCCGAAGCCCCTGGGTCCCTCTGGGGCTGGGTTAGCCTCCTGCCTTCCCAGCGCCCCCCCGAGGGGCTGAGGATCGTAACAGATCATCACATGGGAGCTGCTCCAAATACTCAGTTTCCCGTGCGAGCCCGGCCCCGGGCGATGCCAGGCGCCGGCGGCGCCAGCGGCGCCGAAGAGGGTTTTTGGCGCGCGTGCCCTTGCATGAGAAGGTGCCGCCAGCGCGCCTCGCGCTGGCGATGAGCTGCCCCTGGCGCAGGGCGGCAGCCAGGGTGCTCCAGCAGCTGCAGAGACAGCTGCGGCGGGCGCGGCGGCCGCCCTGGCCCAGGAGGCGCTCGCGAAGTGGAAGCCCACCAGGGCACGCTCCTGGAGGCCACAGAAAAGGCAAGGTGCTGGCCCCGCCCCCGCTTAGCTGCCGCGACTGGATCAGGTAGCGGGCGGGGCTGGGCTGCATGCAGCGGCCGCTTCGGAGAGCGACCTGTGGCGCGGCGACGGTGAACGCGCTGCATGGCGACGGCTTGGCAGCGCGGGCCCGCGAGCTAGTGACGCTGGGCTTGCAGGGTTAGCGCGGCAAGGCTGGCGGCGTGGCGGCGGCGCTGGCCGCCCGTCGTGCAGCAGCAGCGGCGGCCAGG